AATTGGATTATTAGTATTAGAGCGCGGCAACTATATCTTTTTCATTTTTTATCTTCCATTTAGCACACATTATATGAGGGTGAGCAAGGGAACCTGCGACCTAATACAATAATTGATTAAATTGTTGACTCCAGTGGCTCACATGTTAATTCATTATTTATTCATAGCTACCTGCTTGTCAGGCTGATTTTGAGATCCCAATTCTTTCTGCATTGTCAATCTGGCACAAGAATGCAGTAAAGGATATATGACATCACTATGGTTTGCTCATGATTCTGTTTATGATTCTGTTCAGGGTAACAAATTATTAAAGAATGCAGCTAAATTCTACACAAAAAGGTCATCAGCAGCATTCTAAAAAAATGTTCTTCATTTGAGAATTCTTTTAAAAAGTGCATACCTATTAAAAAGGAAGAGCTCAAATTTTCATCTTTTATGAAGAAATCAGTACTTCAGGTTTCCTCTGATAAAAGTATTATCACATTGTCCTGTGACCTCTACTAAATGTCCCAATGAGTTATTCAAGCACAGCTGGTCAATAAGCTCTTCCTAAATACCAATTCTTCCTTTTAGCAAGAGTCACAATACTCTGATATTTGTTAATATGACTTGCCTGAAATAGGGTTCAAATCACTTGATTTAAAAGAAATATATATATATGTAAGCAAGATGGTCTTGATTGGTGGTAGTGGGGAGGTATTTCGCAAAAGGATGACTTTAAGAGACAGATTTTATTCAAAGACACAAATATAATAAAGTTTTCACAGACGTACATCAGCAAACTGAATGATAAAATGCCGCCTCTGTGAATCTGAAAACACAGAAAGGACATATTCACCAGGTTTCCCATGGCTCTCCCGCACCAAGAAGTCCCCTTGTTGCTTTAGCAGCTCTTGTGCTTCAACTCTAGGAATTGCACCATGATACCAATCCTGCTCAGACAAAGGCTTTTCACTCGTGGAGATTACATCAAATAACTAGAAAGAAAGAAAGACTTTGGTTACATTAAACTTGCTTTTAGATGACCAATTTAAGGTGTTCCATTACAAACTTTTCTCTGAAATGTACTGATTTTCTAGAATACTTAACTGCTTAAGGCTGCATTATAGCTTTTCGTGAATGCACACATAATCATGAGACTTTACAAACATTTACAAAAAATGTGCAAAAGCACACCAGACTTGCGGTGTTATTATTTGTCACTATTACACCAAACATAGCAAACAGATGTGTTTTTGTAGGACAAAACAAACTAAGCTCAAAACTCAAAAAGGTGCATAAGCCAAATTTGATGCATTTGTCACACACAAGGCAGTGAAATAAATGAAACAATATTTCAATTCTGCAGCACTCAACTTTGTAAAACAAATACAATAACATTAGTAAATATCTATACATTGTTTAGCCAAACAACTGGGCTTTAGGAGGAGCTAATTTGAAGTGCGATTATTTACACAAAAGAGTAATTACACAATACAAATCAGTGTCTCAAAATTGTTCCAAGATATTGATAAAGGTTTGTTTGTGCACATATAAGAAACCCCATGGTATGAAATGCTCTTCCTTCAAAACTTCTAGTGCCAAAACACAATCTTAACCCTTAAAGGCCAAGTTCTCCTTTTGAGAAATAATAAATGCACATATTTTTGCAGGAAAAAAAAATGTGCACCCCTGAACCCCTAATGAACACCAGGAAACTGATTTTAACCGCCTCCCGCCCTCAGGGGCGATTGGCTGTGCTGTGTCCTCAGAATTACCCATCACTGTAAAGAGCCGATGACATCAGCTCTGTCATCCAATCACAGCTGATCACATATAACTAGGAAATGTCGGTTATCGGCAGTCCTCTCCTCCCACTGACAGCTCGTGAGGAGAGCACAGCCGGTAATGGACATTACTCAGAGCGAACATCTACACTGATCATCAGGGCATGGATGATCAGAGTCCTGATGACCAGTGTAGCCCATCAGTGTCACCTGTCATTGCCCATCAATGCCACAAATCAGTGCTCATCAGTGCACATCAATGCAACATATCAATGTCTACCAGTGCCCATCAGAGCTGCCTTCCAGTGCCACCTATAAGTGCCATCTCACAGTTCCAAACAGTGCCACCTATTAATGCCGGTCAGTGCCACCTATCAGTGCCATATGACTGCTGACTTTCAGTGCTCATCAGTGATGTCTGTCAATGCCCACAAGTGATGCCTGTCCATGCCCATTAGTGCCCAACACTACAGAAGAAAAATTACTTCTTAACAAAATATTATAACAGAATTTAAGAAAAAAACTTTTTTTTTTTTCAAAATTTTCAGTCTTTTTTAGTTTGTTAAGCAAAAAATAAAAACCCCAGTGGTGATTATATACCACCAAAAGAGAGCTCTATCTGTCTCAAAAAAAATGATAAAAATTTTGTTTGGGTACAGTGTTACATGACCGCGCAAATGTCATTCAAAGTGCAACAGCGCTGAAAGCTGAAAATTGGCCTGGGCAGGAAAGGGTAAAAGTGCCCTGTAGGCAAGTGGTTAAATTTAGTACGAAAATCATGTTTTATTTTTAATTTTTTTTAATCATTACAAACACAGAATCAGAAGTTATTCTATGATTTGGATGTTCAAAAGCAGTGAAAGCAGTGAGGGGAGGAAAACAGGCCCGCATTACAAAAATAGATTAAAACAGCCTGCAGCTCAAAAAACTACCTGAAGGACCCGATGTCCGGAACCTGACATCAGATGAGGCCCAAACATTAACCTGGTAAAACAGAAGACCAGGAGTCAAGCCTTGCAAATTTGGGAAACAAATGCCTAATGAATAAAAGCCCAAAAGGCACCCACAGACCTAATAGTGTGCCCTTGACAGGAAATGGTGGAACTTTGTCCTTAAAATGGTTGTAAAAGCTGAAGGTATTTTACTTTCATGCATTATATGCATGAATGGTAAAAAACCTTCTGTGTGCAGCAGTGCCCCCAGCCCCCTCAATACTTACCTGAGCCTCATCGTCATCCAGCGATGTGAATGACAATCTCCACTGTCCCGGGTCTCTGCATGCTCACTGGCTGAGTAAGCAAGCAGGAGCCATTGGTTCCCGCTACTGTCAATCACAGCCAGCCAGCCAATGAGGAGAGGGGGTGGGGCCAAGCAGCAGCTCCATGAGGGGGCAGCCAACAGATAGGAGGTGCCAGGAGAGCCTGCGGGGGATGCGAGAAGAGGAGGACAGACTGCTCTGTGCAAAACCTCTAAACACAGTAGTTAAGTATAGGCACGTTTGTCATTTTCAAAAAAAAAAAAAAATTAACCTTTAGAAATTGATTTAAAGACTGTGGCCATTAGTAAAAAAAAAAAAAAAAAAAAATTATCAGTCTTTCTAAAAGAAGCAATGTATGATAGTTAAACCTGTACCGCACAAACTTTATTCTGGCAGTGAAGGGAACTTTTCTTCTGATGCACTGGAGTCAGGCACATAGATGGAAGAACATTGTCCTGGTTGAGATTGAAAGGATTAAATGGAATATAACTGAATCCATTTTGTATACACTAATACAAGATGCTAGTTTAACATACATATATGAGATATGTACACACTAACAAAAAACTGTCTATGCCAGCTTCATGAAGAAATGAGTGTTTTTGCAAACTTTACAAAAAAGCAGATAAGGTTTACTCTCATTTCTGAAAAGTTTTAACCACAACTTGGGTGTTGGGTCAGATTAAAGCCATGGTCTGGGCGTTAGACCAGATATGGCATGATAGATAAAGCAGAAGAGTGAAAATGCAAACCTCATACAAATAATTGTTGAGTTAAGGTAAAAAAATGTACATGTATTTGATTGGATGGTCTGAGGGTGTGTTTGCCCAAAGACTACAGTATAAAAACTCTGATGTTATGTCAATAAAGCTGAAGTGTTTGCAATCTCAACTGAGGTGACTTGAGTGCATTCACTTTCTGAGATCTCGTAGCTGTGTCCAGGTGTGACCGTTGGTATCTTGAGGGGGCCCCCAAGGAACAGGAAAAAGACCACCTAACTACTTTCAGAGATGAATTGTCAAATTAGAATGAAAGAAGGTTCTAGGTTTCAATATTACCCCATCCTTGTGAACTCCAAAAAGGGATCTTAATAGAATGTGGCTACCAGCTCAGACGTGTCTTGCAGAAGTGACGGCAACAAGGGACAACCTTGTGAGTGAACTGAGAGGACTATCTCCAATAGGTTCAAAAGGCATTCTTTGATAAGAGAACAAAACCAAACATATCCTTGGAGTCACAGAAGGTTGTACAAGAAGAGCCACATATGAGACCCTGCATCATATTCTTTACCAAAAAAAAGAGAAAAAAAATTGGAGGCCATAGATCTTGTGAATAAGATCACAATGGCCAATATTTGTACCTTGATGGTGCTAGAGGTAAAATGCTGATCCAATCCTGACTGAAAATGTCAGGATTTTTCTTTTAAATTTTTGAGTATGAAAAGATATTCAGAGTGCATGCCCCTCTTCTGGCTTTGGTACAGTGAAAACGTTGGCATAAAAACTCTGTCAAAAGAACAAAGGCAATGGATCCTTTGTTTAACCACTTGCCTACCGGGCACTTATACCCCCTTCTTTACCAGGCCAAGCGCTGTCGCACTTTGACAATTGCGCAGTCATGCAACATTGTACCCATATGAACTTTTTATCGTTTTTTTCTCACAAATAGAGCTTTCTTTTGGTGGTATTTAATCGCCGCTGGGCACTCTACGTTTTGCGCTATAAACAAAAAAAGTGCAAAAATTTGAAACAAATAAAAAAGTTTCTGTTTCTATTATAAAATTTTTAAAACAGGTAATTTTTCTCCTTTATTGATGTGCGTTGATGAGACAGCACTGATGGGCACTAATAGGCGGCACTGATAGGCAGCATTGATGGAAACTGATAGGCAGCACTGATAAGCAGCACTAATGAGGTGGCACGGATAGGCGGCACTGATAGGCAGCACTAATGAGTTGTCACGGATAGGCGGCACTGCTGGGCACTGACTGGCACAACCACTGGGCACTGACTGGTGGCACTGACTGGCTGCACTGCTGGGCTGCAGTGATGGGCACTGGTGGGTGGCACTGGTAGGCACATGTGGGTGAGCACAGGTGGGTGGCACTGCTGGGCACAGGTAGGTGGTACTTCTGAGCACAGGTGTGTGGCAATGATGGGTGGCACAGCTGGGCACCCATCATCAGGGCACTGATCATCAGTGCCCTGATGATCGGTGCAAATCCCTGCTCTGACAAACTGCTGGTTCTCAGCAGTACTTTCCTCACACTCTGACAGCGTGAGGAAATTGCAGCCGAGAACCGCCAATTGCATTTCCCGGTGATCAGCGTGTCACTGGACATGGCTGATCACGTGGTAAAAGGCCGCTGTGATTGGCCTTTTACCACATCACGTGATCAGCTGTGTCCATAGGACACAGCGATCACGGAGATCGCCGGGGGCGCACAGGAGAGCGCATTCTGGGAGGACATCATATGACACCCTCCCAGAACTGGCTGGCCGCAGTGTAGCCGTCATTCGGCTATCTGCGGTCGGCAGGTCGTTAAACATTTACCTACTGGCCACTTCTACCCCCTTCCTGCCCAGGCCAATTTTCAGCGCTGATGCACTTTGAATGACAAATGCGTTGTCATGCAACATAGTACCCATAAGAAATTGTTATTTTTTTCACACAAATAGAGCTTTCTTTTGGTGGTATTTAATCGTCACTGGGTGTTTTATTTTTTTCACTATACAGCAAAAAAATTAAAAAAAAAAAAGTTTTTCTTTGATTCTATTATAAAATTTTGCAAACAGGTCATTCTTCTCCATCACTGATGTGCATTGATGAGGCTGCACTGATAGGCAGCACTGATGGGTACTGATGAGCTGGCACTGATGATGCTGCACTGAAGGGCACAGGTGGGTGGCACTGCTGGGCACTGATCATCAGTGCCCTAATGGGCAGTGCTGATCCCTTTGCTTACAATTGCCAGTTCTCAGCAGCACTTTTCTCACACTGTGACAGCGTAAGGAAAGTGCAGCCGATAACTGGCAACTGTATTTAGCTGGTGATCTGCTGTGTCATTGGACACAGTTGATCACGTGGTAAAAGGCCGCTGTGATTGGCTGTTTACCGTATCACATGATCAGCTGTGTCTGTCTGTAGGACACAGCTATCACCGGCAGCGCTGGGGGCGTGCAAAGGATCGTGTTCTGGAATGACGTCCATTGACGTCGTCCCAGAACTAGACAACCGCACTGTAGCTGTCCTTCGGGTATAGCATTGTTGGGAACTGGTTAAAGATGAGCAGCATGGAGATGCAGGCAGGCTGGACAACATGAAATCAGTGAAGAGGCGAAAAGCTGGACTCTGGCCTGCACACCACAATCCTTACCCAGGCATCCAAGATGCTTTCTGATCAGGTGCCTGAAAGAGCCAACAGACATCTACCCACTATGATTAATAGGTGTGCCGATTCATGCTTGAGAACTTTCTTGCAGGCTTGTAGGATTTAGAGGCCCAAGGGTTCAACAGGTACATGGCAACAGAGGCAGGCGAACTACTAAGGTGAAGTGTAGGCTTTATTCTACTGTGGTAAATGGGTGCTTTTACCACCTGTAATGTTCATAATGAAATTATCCAGCGAGCTCCAAAAGATATTCCACTCACCATGAAAAAGGCATATTCATGCAGTCTTTTGTATTGCTACATTGTAGACCAACACTTCAGCCATCAAGATCTCCATATGTTACCTGACAGGAGACTCATTTTAAGGATGAGACAGATATCAGAGACACACTTTAATATAAGCTGAACCTATTCCGCTAAGCTCTAATGGACCGGTATAACAGTCACTGCAGGACCTGCAAGCAAAATAAAGGATTTGGTCAATGGTTTGCAAATGTTTGTCGGTGGTATCCTTAACTTCTTGCCGACCAGCCACTGTAGAAATACGGTGGCAAGTCGGCACGGCTGGGCAAAACCACGTTTTAACCCTTTCAGTAAATAAAGTTAACCCCTTCCTCCCCAGTGCCATTAGTACAGTGTCAGTGTTTTTTTTTTTTTTTTTTTGCACTGATCACTGTATTGGTGTCACTGGGGATGTCAGTGACCCCTAGTCAGTCCCCCCCTAGTGTCAGAATGTGCGCCACAGTCCCACCATAAGTCGCTGATCGCCGCCATAAGTCACTGATCGATGCCATTATTAGTATAAAAAAATTTAAAAATCCGAGTATCTTTCCCACCATTTGTAAACGCTATAACTTTCACGTAAACCAATTAATTTACACGTATTGGGTTTTTTTTTTAGCAAAGACATGTCGCAGAATACATTTTGGCAGAAATTTATGACTAAATTTGATTTTTAACTTTTTTTTTTTACTGGACATGTTTTATAGAAAAAAGTCCAAAATATTGTTTTTTTTCCTCAAAATGGTCAGCTTTTTTTTTATAGCGCAAAAAATAAAAACGCACAGGCGATCAAATACCACCGAAAGAAAGCTCAATTTGTGGGAAAAAAGGGATATAAATTTAATTTATGTACTGTACTGCATGACCGCGCAATTGTCCGTTAAACTAGCGCAGCGCTGTATAGCAAAAAAATGGCATAAATTGCAGTATCTATACCATAGTTTGTAGACCCTATAACTTTCACACAAAGCAATCAATATACACTTATTGGGATTTTTTTTTTTACCAAAAACATGTAGCAGAATACATTTTGGCCTAAATTTATAACCAACTTTAAGTTTACTATATATTTTTTTATAGCTGAAAGTAAAAAGTATCGTTTTTCTTCAAAATTTTTGGTCTTTGTTTATAGCGTGAAAAATAAAAAGCGCACAGGTGATCAAATACCACCGAAAGAAAGCTCTATTTGTGTGAAAAAAAAGACGCAAATTTCATTTGGGTGCAGCATTGCATGACCGCGCAATTATCAGTTGAATTAGTGCAGCGTCAAGTAGCAAAAAAGAGGCCTGGTCATTAAGGGGGGTAAATCCTCAGGAGGGTAAGTGGTTAAAAAGCTTAAAAGCTCTATGATTGGAGAAGGCAGGCCTTTCATTCATCTGTCCATCCACCATTCATAGAGCGTTTTCACTGAAAGAAGTGACGTAGTACAGCTTTTATGAATGGTGCAGGGGGCAGGAAGTGTGAGCATATTCAGCCCTTTAACAAGTGTCTGTAATAAATCCACTTAATCGTATTAACCCATGAAGCACAGCTGCAGAGGTATCCAGGGAAAGAGGGCAGAAGAATGAAGACTTCAACAGAAAATTCCAGCACAAGGGACACTTCCCATCTATTGTAAGCACTATCCCAGGTGTTTATTTAAACTATTATATATACATATACACACACACACACACACACTTGTGTTCAAAATAATAGCAGTGTGTTGAAAAAAGTGAATAAAGCTCAAAATCCTTCTAATAGCTTTTATTTCCATATACACAAATGCATTGGGAACACTACACATTCTATTCCAAATCAAAACATGAAGAAACATACATCAAATTTGTGTTGTTCCACTAAAAAAATTGATGAAAAGTGAATATTAGACTGTTCAAAAAATAGCAGTGTTTGTATTCTTCTTCACAAACTCAAACATTCACTATATAAACTGAAAAATGTTTGAAGATTTTGCTTTCCTTTGAATCACTTAATATTTAGTTGTATAAGCACTGTTTCTGAGAACTGCTGTACATTTGTGTTGCATGGAGTCACCCAACTTCTGGCACCTGTGAACAGGTATTCCGGCCCAGGATGATTGGACTACATTCCACAGTTCTAATCTATTTCTTGGTTTTGCCTCAGAAACTGCATTTTTGATGTCACCCCACAAGTTTTCTATTGGATTAAGATCCGGGGATTGGGCTGGCCACTCCATAAAGTCAATCTTGTTGGTCTGGAACCAAGATGTTGCACGTTTACTGGTGTGTTTGGGGTCGTTGTCTTGTTGGAACACCCATTTCAAGGGCATTTCTTCTTCAGCATAAGGCAGCATGACCTCCTCAAGTATTCTGATGTATTCAAACTGATCCATGATACCTGGTATGCGATAAATGGGCCCAACACCGTAGTATGAGAAACATCCCCATATCATCATGCTTCTGCAACCATGCTTCACTGTCCTCACAGTGTACTGTGGCTTGAATTCAGTGTTTGGGGGTCGTCTGACAAACTGTCTCCGGCCACTAGACCCAAAAAGATCAATCTTACTTTCATCAGTCCACAAAATGTTGTGCCATTTCTCTTTAGGCCAGTCAATGTGCTCTTTGGCAAATTGTAACCTCTTCAGCACATGTCTTTATTTCAACAGTGGGACTTTGCGGGGGCTTCTTGCAGATAGCTTGGCTTTACATAGGCGTCTTCTAATTGTAACAGTACTCACTTTAGACCTTCTTTGATCTTCCTGGAGCTGATTGTTGGCCGAGTCCTTGCCATTTTGGCTATTCTTCTATCCATTCGAATGGTAGTTTTTCGCTTTCTTCCACGTCTTTCAGGTTTTGGTTGCCATTTTACAGCATTTGCGATCATTTTAGCTGAGCAGCCTATCATTTTCTGCACTTCTTTATATGTTTTCCCCTCTCCAATCAACTTTTTAATCAAGGTACGCTGTTCTTCTGAACATTGGAACGACCCATTTTCCTCAGAATTTCAGAGAGAAATGCACTGTAACCAGCATGTACAACATTTGCTGCCTTCCTTCCTTAAATAAGGGCAATAATTGCCACCTGTTTTTCAAAGAATGAATGACCTCACTAATAGAACTCTTCACTGCTATTATTTTAAACATGCCCCTTTCAATTATTGATTCAATTACACAGAATCAGCAGCATGCATGTCATGACTGTTGGGTCTGTGGGATTTCTAATACTCTACTACACCTGCTAGTAAATTATTTGCCATGTAGAAATATCATTTCTACCAAAAACAGTGATTGATCAGGTTAGTGATGTCGGACTGCTATTATTTTGAACACAAAATATATATATATATATATATATATATATATATATATATATATATATATAAAACTAAACTTCAGCTTCACGTTGCAACACAAGTGCAGCTCTTCTCCCGAGCAAAAACTTTTGTAACCTATTCTATTACAGTAAAATGAGCTACTTGCCTTAATCTCATAGATGAACCAAGGAAAACCTATATTTCCAACTCAAGGCTGTGTACATGAGGGTTTATTTGAATTAATCATCCTCCTTCCCAAAAGCCTGTAGCTATTGCCAGTTCTTTATTACTCCTAAAAACACTAACAGCTTATATCATGGCCATAACTTTTCTTATCACTTTTTGTCTCGCTATTTTACTTTTA